AAGCAGAGCTCTAGGTGTGTATCACCACAAATCAGAGCTCTAGGTGTTATCTCACCACAAACCAGAGCTCTAAATTGTGTATCACCACAAACCAGAGCTCTAGAGTGTTATCACTACAAACCAGAGCTCCAAGTGTGTATCACCACAAACCAGAGCTCTGAAGTCATTATCACCAGAAACCAGAGCTCTGGAGTGTGTATCACCACAAACCAGGCGCTCTGAAGTGTTTATCTGCCAGAAACCAGAGCTCTAGGAAGTGTTTATCACCTGAGCAGAGCTCACAAATTGTGTATCTACCACAAACCAGAGCTCTAGAGTGTTTTATCACACAAACCAGAGCTCTCAAAATCATTTATCTTACAAACGGAAGCTCTAGAGTGTTTGTCACCACAAACCCAGAGCTCTAGAGTGTGTGTCACCTGAAACCAGAGCTCTAGAGTGTTTATCACCTGAGCCAGGCTCTAGGTGTGTCACCACAAACCAGAGCTCTGGGGTGTATATCTGCACAAACCACACGGCTCTAGAGTGTGTGTGTCTGTGGAGCTCTAGGTGTTTATCACCTGAGCCAGGCTCTGGAGTGTTTATCCTGCAAACCCAGGCTCTGGGTGTGTCTGCAAACCAGGGCTCTGGGTGTTTCATCTTACAAACCAGAGCTCTGGGGTGTGTGTATCACCTGGAAGCCAGGCTCTGGGTGTCACCTGACCAGAGCTCTAGAGTGTGTATCACCTGAAGCCAGAGCTCCTATTGTGTTTATACCACAAACCCAGAGCTCTAGAGTGTTTATCACCACAAACCAGAGCTCTGGGGTGTATCTACAAACAGAGCTCTAGGTGTGTGTCTGCACAAACCCAGAGCTCTAGGTAGTGTGTCACCACAAACCAAGGCTCTAGAGTGTGTATCACTTACAAGCAGAGTTCTAGGTGTGTATCACCACAAACCAGGCTGTTGGTGTTTATCACCTGAAACCAGAGTTTCTGGGTATGTATCACTGACCAGAGGCTAGGTGTGTATCACACAAACCAGAGCTCCTAGAGTGTTTATCACCACAAACCAGAGCTCTAGGTGTGTGTCACACACAAACCAGAGCTGTTGAGTGTGTGTGTCACCACAGAGCAGAGCTCCTGGGGTATGTGTCTTACAAACCCAGAGCTGTTGAGTGTGTGTCACCACAAACCAGAGCTCTAGAGTGTGTGTCACACACAAACCACAGCTCTAGAGTGTGTATCACCACAAGCCAGAGCTGTTGAGTGTTTATCACCTGACCACAGCTCTGGGGGTGTGTCACCACAAGCCAGAGCTGTTGGTGTTTGTCACCTGAAGCCAGGGCTCTGGGTGTGTCACCACAAACCCAGAGCTCTGGGTGTTTTGTCTACCACAAGCCCAGGCTGTTGGGTGTTTGTCACCTGAGCTAAGGCTCTGGGTGTGTGTCACAAGCCAGAGCTCTGGGGTGTGTGTCACCACAAACCCAGAGCTCTGGGGTGTGTGTCACCACAAGCCAGAGCTGTTGGGAGTTAGTAATATCCACCACACACAGAAACCAGGCTCTAGGTATGTATCACCACAAACCAGAGCTTGTTGGTGTGTATCACCACAAACCAGGGCTCTAGGTGTGTATCACCACAAACCAGAGCTGTTGAGTGTGTGTCACCACAAACCAGGCTCTAGGTATGTATCACCACAAGCCAGAGCCAGAGTGTGTCACCTGAAGCCAGGCTCCTAGGTATGTGTCACCACAAACCAGAGCTCTAGGTGTTTGTCACCACAAGCCAGAGCTCTAGAGTGTGTGTCTGCAAACCAGGGGGCTCTGGGTGTGTCACCACAAACCAGGCTCTAGGTGTTTGTCACCCACAAACCCAGAGCTCTGGAGTGTGCTGTCTGCCACAAACTGAGCTCTGGGGTGTTTTATCACCACAAACCCAGAGCTCTAGAGTGTTTCTCACCACAAACCTAACCAGAGCTCTGGGGTGTGTATCCACCTGAAGCCAGAGCTCTGGGGGGTGTGTCACCACAAACCAGGAAGGCTCTAGAGGTATGTATCACCACAAACCAAAGCTCTGCCAGGTATGTATCACCACAAACCCAGAGCTCTAGAGTGTGTGTCTACAAACCAGAGCTCTAGAGTCAATAATATCACCACAAACCAGAGCTTTGAGTATGTATCACCTGACAGGCTGTTGAGTGTATCTTACAAACCAGAGCTCTAGAGTGTTTTATCACCACAAACCAGAGCTCTGGAGTGTTTATCTGCAAACCAGAGCTCTGAAGTATGTATCACCTGACCAGAATACAAGGTATTTATCACCACAAACCCAGGCACTGGGGTGTGTGTCACCACACAAACAGAGCTCTAGGTATGTTCTACAAACTTAGAGCTCTAGAAATTGTGTATCACCCTGAAACAGGCTCTACGGTATGTATCACCTGAAGCCAGAGCTCTGGGGTGTATCTGGCAGCCCCAGGCTCTGGGGTATGTCACCACAAACCCAGAGCTCTGGAAATTGTGTATCACACCTGGCTGGAGCTCTGGGGTGTCTGCTCACCTGACAGAGGCTCTGGGTGTGTCACCACAAGCCAGAGCTCTGGGGTGTGCTCACCTGAAGCCAGAGCTCTGAGGTGTTTGTCTGCAAACCCAGAGCTCTGGGTGTTATCTGCAAACTAGAGCTCTAGAGTGTGTATCACCACAAACCAGGCTCTAGAGTATATCAAGAATCACCACAAACCAGGCTCTAGAGTATGTATCACCCACAAACCAGAGCTCTGGGGTGTGTATCACCACAAACCAGGCTCTGGGGGTGTGTGTCACCACAAGCCAGAGCTCTGGGTATCTGCCACAAACCAGAGCTCTGAGTGTTTGTCACCCACAAACCCAGAGCTCTGGGTATATGTCACCACAAGCAGAGCTCTAGAGTGTGTATCACCAGAAGCCAGAGCTCTGGAGTGTCACCACAAACCCAGAGCTCTGGGGGTGTGTGTCACCTGACTACAGCTCTGGAGGTGTGTCACCACAAACCAGGCTCTAGGTGTGTCACCACCAAACCAGGGAAGCTAGAGTGTTTATCACCACAAACCAGGGGGCTCTGGAAATTGAGCATCACCCACAAGCCAGAGCTCTAGAGTGTGCTATCACCACAAACCAAATACAGAGTATGTCACCACAAACCCAGAGCTCTAGAGTATGTATCACCACAATGAGAGCTCTGGGGTGTTTATCACCACAAACCCAGAGCTCTGGAGTGTTATCACCACAAGCAGAGCTCTGGGTGTTTGTCACCACAAACCCAGAGCTCTAGAGTATGTATGTCTACAAACCAGAGCTCTGGGTATGTGTCACCACAAACCCAGAGCTCGGTGTTATCACCTGACAGAGCTCTGGGTGTTTGTCACCACAAACAGAGCTCTAGAGTGTCTATCACTTTTCAAGCAGAGCTCTAGAGTGTTTATCACCCACCAAACCCAGAGCTCTAGGTATGTCACCACAAACCAGAGCTCTGGGGTGTGTCACCTGAGCCACAGCTCTAGAGTGTGTATCTACAAACCAGAGCTCTAGAGTGTTTATCACCCACAAACCAGAGCTCTAGAGTGTTATCACCACAAACCAGGGCTTTCTAGGTGTGTGTATCACCACAAACCAGAGCTCAGAGTATGTGTCACCACAAACCAGGCTCTGGGGTATATGTCACCTGAGCCTTCCAGAGCTCTAGGTGTGTCACCACCAGAGCTCCTGAGTGTGTCTGCAAACCCAGAGCTCTAGAGTGTTATCACCACAAACCAGAGCAGGTATGTATCACCTGAAGCCAGAGCTCTGGGTGTTTATCTGCACAAACCCAGGCTCTGGAGGTGTTTGTCTGCCACAAACCCAGAGCTCTGGAAACATGTATCTGCACAGAGCCAGAGCTCTGAGTGTGTCACCACACAAACCAGGCTCTAGAGTGTTATCACCACAAGCCAGAAGCTCTGAGTGTTTGTCTACAAGCCAGAGCTCTGGGGGTGCTCACACAAACTAGAGCTCTAGGTGTGTATCACCACAAACAGAGGCTCTAGGTAGCTGTCACCTGACCCAGAGCTCTGGAGTGTTTGTCACCACAAACCAGAGCTCTGGTGTGCCCTTTTACAAGCCAGAGCTCTGAGAGTGTTTTATCACCTGAGCCAGAGCTCTGGAGGTGTTTATCACCACAAACCCAGAGCTCTAGGTGTTTGTCACCTGAGCAAGAGCTCCTAGAGTATGCTATCACCACAAACCAGAGCTCTAGAGTGTGTATCACCACAAACCAGAGCTCAGTGCTATCTTACAGCCAAACTCCTAGAGTGTTATCACCTGACAGAACTCCCATGAGTGTTATCACCACAAACCCAGAGCTCTAGTGTTTGTCACACAAAGCTGAGAGCTCTAGAGTGTTTATCTGCACCACAAACCAGAGCTCTAGAGTG